TAGAGTTTCCATCCATCCTGAGTGCTAGACAACATTATAACACAAAACCCTACAGGGTCCTTGTCTGGAAATCCCGTTGATGTGAGAATGACGTTAACAGCGTGTTTATTTGATGCCCATTTCACTTTTTCCAGGCAAGCTCATTCGCTGATTAGATTATAAAAAATAGACATAACAAATTCACCTGACCCATGACACTGATTTTCATAGTTGAATGTACAGCGACTGAATTGAATTGAATTTCTGTCTTTTGTGAGATTAGCTCTTCTGGCATGCCTGTGCAAGCCTGAGTTGCCAGATGCCCATATATAAACGAATGCACGAGGAAGACTCACGCTAGTGACACTTCTTCAACGCATCTCCAGGTATGTGAACGATTGTCTCCCACCGCCATGTAAAGTCAATTTAACTCAGTTGAATTTTGTGAATATCAGTGTTCATGTTTTAACATAGTGAAATGATCGTGTGCCAAGTATAATTAAAGTAACTTAAGTATCGTCTGTATCGCTGCCAGACATATGTTATGGATAGTTGAAGTTAGACTATTTTAACACGCTCTGACTTCCTCAACGCATCTCCAGGCACAGAGGAATACCCAGCAGCTAACTATTACGTCATATTTTCCCTCTGTTGGGTTCTCGACTAATACAACTGTTCACCCTGGAATGTTTTCAAAAACTGGTTAATCTCAAATATCGGTAAAGCAAAACCTTCAAGTAAAATAATTTAATATAATTAATAAAAACTATTTACAATGCATACAAGAAACAATAATGACAAAGTAGTAATTTAGCCATTGACAAAATAACACTATTTAACCTGTAGGAGTTCGTGATATTATGTTGTCTAGCACTCAGGATGGATGGAAACTCTAAGGTGGTGGTTTTCTTATATAATATAAGTTATATGGTAGACAGTCTGGTGCTGGAGGTGCCGTGTGGTGAGGAGCTGCTCAGTAGAGACGTTTGGTGAGTAGCGTGTTGAAGGAGGTAGATGTGCAGGAGCTTCGTTAGAGGAGATGTTGCCTGTTGCTGGCCTCCAGGTTGAATGAGAGCGGGAGAGCGAGGAGCTTGCTTGGAGGAGGTGTTGCGTGTTCAGGAATGTAGAGTAGAATGAATCTCAATGGAGAGACAGAGCTTATATACACAGCCGCCGGAAGTAAACCCGTGGAAAGTCGCCGGTTTCTTGACTCCGTTGCTAGGGAAGACGTGGCTGGTTGCTAGGATACTGTGGCATCTGGTGACGCCCCCCCCCCTTGGGCCGCTCGTTTGGTTGCTAGGGAAGACGTAGCAGGTGGCTGGTTGCTAGGATACTGTGGCATTGGAATGCCGCTACGCAGTTGTAGGGGAGACGTCCACTACAAACCTATAATTAAATCATTTACAGTATACATTACTTAACGTAACTGGAGCAGGAACACTTATAACATAAGTGAAGACAGTTCACACCATACAAATAACAATGTAATCATCAGGGCCGGATTCAGGAGTGGGCAAAGTGGGCAGCTGCCCATGGGCCTCCACAATCTGGGGGCCTCCGCATATTACAATATTTTATTTATTTGTTTATTCATTTGGATTATTTTTATTTTCATTCTTTAAAATTCATGTTTATCTATTCCATCACGTAAAACTATGTTCAGCAAGAAGCGTGATAGAAATTAGGCTAGCTACTCCTTGAAATTCATGAATACCTGGTTTTCCTATAAACCATATATTTTTAATGAATGCTATTGTTTGTGTTGCTAATAATATATTTAGAATTCCACAAACATATATTGATTAAAAATGAACTACATAGAATAACGAAACTGAGATTAAAAAAAAAACAAATAAAATATTTTTTTCATTATCACTTCCATTACGAATGCCATCAGGGCGCTGTGTTTGTTGACAGTCGGTCGGAGGGGGTTGGGTCGTGTAGTATCTGCACATCGGTTGTCATGTGTCTGTCGATTAAAGAGGAGACTTGTGTCGCCCATGATTCGTGAACTTCCCACGAGTAGACATAAACATGTCTTGCAGATGTAAAATACAGTTAATTAAAAATTTCTCAATGTTCTAATTTCCTCAATATAACTGCATATGGCTTCAAAATTCTCCAAAGAAGTGTTCAAATTTCAAAATTTTCCCGGGGGGCTTACAGCGCCACCCGGAACTCCCAGATGTTTAGGCTCGCTTCACTCGCCACCCCACCCTCTCGGGTAGTTATAATGAGGGGGCCCTCCACAAAAAGGCTGCCCATGGGCCTCCACAGGTCTAACTCCGGCACTGGTAATCATCACTATGGAAGAGGAGGTGAGACCCACAGCCGGCAACCATACTGTCCACAATGTGACTGACTGTTCTCGGCTCTGGGGTGGTTAACCTAACACCAAACCTAGAATGGATGAGTCGAAGCATTAAGACAGTCCGCTGTGGTGACTCTTGGCAGTCCTTTATAGTTAACCAATAGATGACGACTGTCGTAACATGACTGTGAATCAAAACAATCTGACTTCAGTGGTGAATAGAAATCCTGTAACATCTCACAGGGCGGAAAAAGGATTCTCACCTCCATTGCAAACTCTAACACTCGACTTACTTGACAATTTCACTAAAAGTAAATATAGTTGAAGCTTTCAACATCACTCACAATGGATCTTGAATGTTTCAGCTATAGGTCAGGATATAAGGGTGTCCCGAAAGTCTCTTTCCGGTTTTAGATATTTATTACTAAAAAACCAAAAGGGATATAGCAATACAGGTACAGATGCAATTTAAACGACATCAACATGTGCACCCTTTGTGGCTCTAAGCACGTCCAGCCGGTACAAGATTGGTCGCGATGGACCATCCGATGGCCTCCGCGCTCTCTAGAAATCCCACCGCTAGATTTTTTCTTGTGGGGTTATGTAAAGGATTGTGTCTACAAAACACCTGTAGTAGAATTTGCAATCCTACGTCAACGAATAACCGATGCAATAGGCATGGTAACACCAAATATGTTAGCCAACAGTTGGAGAGAAATCGAGTATCGGCTGGACGTGCTTAGAGCGACAAATGGTGCACATGTTGAGGTCGTTTAAATTGCACATGTAAAGAAGAAAACTCGACTGACTAAGGAATAGTGTATTAATACATCTCTTTTGGTTTTTTATTAATAAATATTTAAAACCGGAAAGAGACTTTCGGGACACCCTTATATCTTACAGTCACACATACACATTACACTGTTAATTCACATTTACATAGCTACATGTTTTATGGGCTATTTGAGCGGAATGTGAATCATCTGATTTTACGTTAACTTACATGTATGACTGTGGTCATTACACCTTGAGTAATTGTGTTAAGCAGGAGCGTCCCGGCATAAAACTGTGTTGGTAGTCCTTTAAAAGGTTGTTTCATAGCAGATGTTCCATCATAGCATCTCTATAATGCTCTCTAGTACTTTACACACTATGCTGGTCATTCTTACTGGTCAATAATTATTCGTGGAGTGACGATGGTACTTCTTGAATATAAGGCTCACATAAGCCATTTTCCAGTCACTAGGGACCTTTTGCTCCTTCAGGCATTTATAGAACAGGATATTAAGGGGCTCAGCAAGCTCGTTGCACTACTCTCTTAGCACTCTGGGATACATCATGATGTCAGGGTCGGGACTCTTATGAACCTTAAGCTTTGACAAAATATTTCTTGTATCCTCTTCTGAGAACACGATGTGGGTCAGCGCTGTGTGAAACCGTCTCTCCTCAAACGCAGGAAGACTGTTCTGATTAATCTTACCTTAATTTATTTGGGAGAATCTCCATTTTTAATGAAATGAAGCAATGATATTTCCCCAAGAAATAACGGCCCGGGGACTTGGTGTACAGTATACCCACCACACGGTCAATCACCTGAAGCACTTCGTCATGGAAACTGGCGTTCATACTCAAATTATTGAGCGCTTTTGGCGTGACGTTAAGTCATGAATTTTCCCGTCTGGGAATAGAAGTGTCACCTACCCAAGCATTTGTCATGATACTAAATTATCAGAGAGTTTCCTGTTTACTGCCACCGATTTGTACCGTCACCCCAACGCTCCTGCATAAGATAAGTCATAAGATACATTCAGGAGGCGAACCTCACCCCCGGCTCGGAAGCAGATTAGGTTAGGTTAGTTTTGTACGTGTTGACGGATGTTGACCGAATGTTTTCCTCCCCCCTAAGAAAAGATTCCCCACGGATCCCCCTAAACTGTTGACACGATAATCTATTTTTCTGGTGTATTTTTATGTGATTTCTTCTGACTTGTTTTTTAATCGTAGTTTCTTCAGGAAATGTCATTTATTCATTTCCTTAAAATTGACACGCCAAAATATACCAGCAAAAACATGTTTTCTTGTCAAAATCGGGTATGCAGTAACAGCGAAAAATTACCAAAATATCTTTTGACAACTATATACACAACAAATCTCAAGAATGAGAGTGACTTACAGTACATATTATAACAGATTCTACATAGCGTATTATGATCTCCACACAAAAATGATTGAAATATTTCTGTAAGGGTCTCTAAATGTTGCCCCACAGGACTCACTGGCTGACATACCAACAGTTAATTATCCAACGTACTGTATATAAGAATAATAATTTCATGAGTTTAGCATTGAAATTAATTAACTACTTAAAAGATTTCCATAAAGGAAAACACAATCTTAATTTTGTTTTATCCCGGTTGATATAAGTAGGAAACTCATACATATCTGAACATTGTTTTTCTAGTATTCAAATCAACCAAACAGACGCTGTTATTCCTGTCATACCTGTTGCTGATGTAATAACGGCAGGGAACCAGTTTACCAAAAGATTTCTTACATATTTCACTGGTTACAGTTGTTTTCATATTTATAGACTGCACATTGTTTTGGATATTGTGCTGAACTCAACTTTTTTTAATATTTATAAATATATGGATGACATCGCTGAAATATGAATACATTACTATTAATAATTGGTCATGTGCACCGGAAGCGGACTTTGGGTTCTGTGCACAGTTGTCTCCGGAGAAGAGCAAGAGGACGACCATGGTGGGGACGCCTTACTGGATGGCCCCTGAGGTGGTCAATCGGCGGCAGTACGGTCCCAAGGTAGACGTGTGGTCCCTCGGCATCATGGCACTTGAGATGCTAAATGGTAAGTTATTCGAATTCAATTACAAACTATTTGACTCATCTTGGGCAATCTCAAGTTTCCGGGTGTGGTAACCTCGTGATAATTGGGAGACCTATGTATGTTTTCGTAGTTAAAATTTATTCCTCTGCAAATTTTCATATAGGGTCTCTCGAAGTGGCTTGCTAGGTAGAGCTTTCCCACTTCGTATTGACACAATATAATACATGTATTTCTTTCAACTAGGTCTAATATCTAGACATTTCATTAGTGGCTTTATCATGATAATGAGAATTTGTGAGTTCTTATTTCTTGGTACAGTATATGAGACTTGAGGAAAGACTTAAGATTTAAAAAAAAACCCGCCCTTATAAAGGTAGAGGGACCAGGGAAGGCAGAGACTATGATGGATGAAAGAAGTTAAAAACCCTCAGGCATAATGATGACATCTTGTTCGGTGGTTTGGTTGAGCGATAAGCGATGTACAGTGCTTGTTCACAAGTAGACTTTTCACATAATTTTATTTTATTTTTTATACTGGATTAGCCCACCCGAGCACAGGTCAATGACCCACATCAGGGCCTGGGGGCGAAAATATAATAATAATAATAATAATAATAATAATAATAATAATAATAATACTAATAATAATACTAATTAGTAATAATAATAATAATAATAATAATAATAATAATAATAATAATAATAATAATAATAATAATAATAATAATAATAATAATAATAATAATAATAATAATAATAATAATTATAATAATAATAATAATAATAGAAATAAAAATAAAAATAATAATAATAATAATACTAATAATAATAATAATAATTAATAATAATAATTAGTAATAATAATAATAATATAATAACAATAATAATAATAATAATAATAATAATAACAATGATAATAATAATAATAATAATAATAATAATAATAATAATAATAATAATAATAATAATAATAATAATAATAAAATAATAATAATAATATTAATAATAATAAATAAAAAAAAATCAATAGTGAGAAACAATATATGTATGTTGTGCTGTCAAAGTAAGAGGAACAATTGAAACCCTGCAATTGTGTGTAAATGAGGCAGAAAGTCAGATCATCAACCTGGGACTTGGTCACAATTTTTGTGATGCCATATGGCAACAGGGTCTACCATAGATAACACATTATGCTTCCAATATCTTCCCAGGCAGTAGTACCTCCATCCTCTCCTTATAGCCATACCTTCGCCACCATTTTATTACCTTAAAATTAAATATCCTAATACATAAGTAGCTATCTTAGCTGTGTTGAGTTAGTTGAGCCGCAAATCTATGCGGCATTCAGTGACTGTTGCCTCATAGTCAATATCTGCAACTGCTGTCGGCTTTGGGGCCGATGCTCTCGTTCCCCTGAGGCAGAGCAAAGCCGACCTAAGGAGAGAGAAGAACAGTCGACATCTCATCCAGGCTGTAACATAACATCTGGGCTGCTGCTTCTGTTCGGGTAGGACCTCCGCGAGTCTGGCGTAGAAGCATCTTGCACTTGGTCCCATCCCACCAGAGGTTGTGAACGCTAGAGGAGTGAAGCTGCCTTGATCAACGTTCTGAATTCTCTCCCCGTATGTCCTTATCTTGTCGTTCTCGTTCCTCCTGTGTGCAGCATTGAGAGCTAAGTTATGGTGACATGCTGCCATGGGATAAAAAAATCCTGATGTCGAAGAAGGCTCGCTGTCCCCGCGTCCAGAATCCTCTAGCACTGACGTCAACACGGTATCCACCTCCCCTGTTACGTTCTGAGCTATTATGTGGTCCGTGAGGGCTGCCGTGAGCTTAACTGAGTTTTGATGTTCGGTGGCAGCAATCTCCTCTGGATTGGTCAGCTCATTCCTCCCAGTCTCGGTGGTAGTGCAAGGAGTGATCTTTCTGCTGGGGTCAAGTGAGGGTGTTTCACTAATTTAGGAATGAAATTGACGCTGATAGCTTCTTCCAGAGGGTGGAGGAGGGGTCCGATATCAGGTATAGTGCGCATCAGGTAGTTCCAGCGATGCTTGACTCCATGGGTGAATGCCGCAAAAGCCGCATGTGGCTCTGTGTTAGCAATCTCAGACAGAAATTGAATTTCCCTAACCCACTCATTCACCTTTCCCACTACGTACTCGGTCTTGAAGTCCGTCGTGCCGCTTACTGCTCCTAGGTTTCTTTGGCCATCCTTTGTTATTTTGACCTCACTTCCACCGAACACCTCCATTGCCCGTTCATAATGTTCTGGCTTCACAATGAGGAAGGACTTGCTGGCGTTTGGGTGGTACCCTATTTGTGGGCCTCGTGATGTTACCAGGTCCCACCACTTTTTGATGTCTTCCACTTTTCCTGCTCCTGTGAGGTCATCAGCGTACGCCACTTGCTTGACCTCAGTTGTTTACTACCTACTACCATTTCAAATATTTTATAAACTTATAAATATTGATTTCTTATAATTCACAGGTTAATAATTTGTAGGCCTGAAGAGGAGTCAGTGATGGATGCAGATAATCTTCCTTTTTAATCGTCTTCCTCCCGCTGACAGTTGACTCGCCACATACATACATACATACATACTTACATACTTACATACATACATACATACATACCACACTCTCGGACTTGACCAATATCCTTCACATCTTCTATATTCCATTTTACAGTAAATTCTCCTCCTCTCCCCGGTCCTTTTACCATTACTTATCCTCATACCCAGTTCCCCAATACGGTAGATCGTTTATTAACTCTGAAGAGCCGCCTGTCGCCCCCCGCTAGTAAACATGAAATTGAACCTTTAAAGTTTTATATAAGAAAGCAATCCAATCATCAAGCGAATAATCACAGGCTGCTAGTAACGCCACACAGACAGCGACCATGAGATAGGTGTTTGTTGTCATATTTGGGATGGGTTTTTCAGGGCCTCTCACACATTCTCTCAATTTTCATTCATTAATCCAGCTGATGAACGAACTTCCTTTTCTTCCACTTTTTTTTTTAATTAAACTTTATGATGAGTTAAAAACCGTATAAGAAACTTTACTACAGTTAACAATCCCACTGAGTTACACAGCCAATAGCTCCTTCCTCCAGTCCTACTACTGCTGTTCTCAACTATCCGGGGCACAAAACCTATCCATTTTCAGTCAATCTAACTTTTCCAAAATATTCCAAAGTCGTTAGGTTAGGTTAGGTTAGATTTAATTGGTTCATGTTGTCTGTTTTCTGCCGTTAATAATGATCTAAGGTGCAAGAAGAACATTATTTATGGAAATTATTTATAAAATGGACCACAGGAATTTACCAAATTTACCTTATAGCTTAACGATCTTACAATAGTGTTACTTATGTTCGCTACTATGAACGTAGGGCAATGGAATAGATAATAGAGGGAAAACTGACTTAATTTTGGAGAAATAAAAAAAGACAGTTTGTTTTAAACATTTGTTCTTAAAAGTAAATTTCAATTAAGTTTATGTACTAATCACCTATTCTGTGTGAAAGAGAGAGAGAGAGAGAGAGAGAGAGAGAGAGAGAGACATATTAGCTGCTTGTTTTAACTAAAGTTAATTATCACACCTGGTTTTCCTATTGTACCTGGCCTTACAGGAGAGCCGCCGTACATGAATGAGGATCCGGTAAGAGCGATTTACCTTATAGCGGCCAACGGGAAGCCTGAGATCAAGGGCCAGGACAAACTCTCTCCGGAATTTAAGGACTTCCTCGACAAATGTCTAGAGGTGCAGGTCGACCTACGACCCTCCGCTAATGAGCTCCTCCAGGTAAACTCTCTTGCCTAGTTGTCTTGTCTGTCCGTCTCTCTGTCTATCTGTTTAGTCTTTGTCTAAATATTTGTTTGCCCATTTATTAATTTTTTATGTATGTATGTATTTATGTATGTATGTATGTATGTATGTATGTATATGTATGTATGTATGTAGACTACCTGGATATCTAATTTTGCTTCTATGTATCTAACGACACATCTTTGTCTATGTATATCTATCCATTAGGGTGGTCCACAGAATGGGGGTCAATTTTTTCTCCTACGTTTTTGTGTGCTCATGGTTCAACCTTATCCACTAGTTGGGCAACTGTCACAGGTGATTTTTTTTTAAATCAATGAATATTTAGGGTTTGCACACTGCTGCCATGAAGCATCCCCTGTCGTGCTAAGTATAGTATATAGGGTAAATTGGCCTAATTACACACACTCATTAAAAAAAATAGCATCTCTTTTGTTCGATCATCCTAAGATTTGGCATCATACAGTATATGAAAATCAAAGGAAACACCATATCCTGGAGTTCGTTCTGAGAGACGTCTTCAAGACTGTTCATGGATCGTCCAGTTGTCCGAAGGTTCTCCTATACCAAAGGTCACAAAATTAGTGGCCACGGGTCAATCAAGTGAACTTCTAGATCGGAACGATGGATGGTAGTAAGGAGCTTTTGACTACTACGTGAAAGTTCTCGAGCGGACGCAACCATGGGGCGACTACCTCCGAGCTCTGGAGCTTACCGTGGTCTTCCTGCGTGGGACACCTCCGCGAGGGATTCAATATGGACAGCTTGGGCCCATACACCAAGCTCGCTGGAGGTCAAAGTCAATATCCTGTCTCCAAATCTTCATGTTTCAACACGAATTCCGTTTGGACCATGGCTCTCTTTGTTGCTCTTGTCTATGGACCAGCATGGTGTAATAGGGTGTGTCATAGGAGGGAAGATCAGCTAAAACTAATGGCCCATCACTTTTTTGGTAGATTTTAGTGTATATAAACAGAAAATAATTTCAGTTTCAATATTTTGCAACCTTTTGCTAGGTAAATTTTAGCGTGAAATTTATCGAAAATCTAACGTACAGCTGCATTAGTGCATTACAATTAAATAGTGAACATTGCTTTCTGACTTCATTCTTTAACAACCCAACTAACAATATTTTTTTCTGTTTCAGATTCTGATGCATTTATAAGTTGATAATAATATTTGCGATGGCTGCTTGTGTCAGGACGAGGAACCAAAAATCCAACCATCTCAGTCACTATCTTGGGTCTGGGAGAGCTCCTGAAGTCGGAGTTGCCTACATTGAGAAGATGCTTTGAGATACGGTGTTTTAATCGGGCAAATCAGTGAAAAGACCAAAAAAGAACTTACACCGACAAAGACATTGCCAGTGATATGACCAAAGCTGTCTTGGCACAGTACCTCCTGGCTAACGCTCAGTTCAAGCCTCCAGTCATAACAAGTCAGAAGAAAGATTAGTGAGACTGCTAGCCAGTTGGGGAAAAGGCAGAGATATCTCTCTCTTGGGAGGAAAACTTGCAGTTAAGGACAGCTTTGCCAAACAACTGGACCAGTTATTTGACATAATTACTTGCAAGTACCCCAAATGTTCTCTGTCCTGAGTTTGGATGCGATCATGTAAATCCGAAGACCCCATCTCCCACTGTATTTGCAATGAACTGAGATTCCTGTGATCGAACTGGCATTTGTCAAAGCACAGAGACTGGCAGTATAGGGGCTCTCATGATTTCCTAGCCAAGATATTCGGAGTCAAGAGACAGGAGGCTACAGAGAGACAGAAAGAGGAGAAAGAGTTGCGAGAAAAGAGACTTGAGAAGGCCCAGGGTGAGTAAAAAAAGGCCGATGATTGGAGTCAAAGCTGATTCAGAGTTTAATAGCTTCCCCATGGCTGATCCGAGTGCTGACCAGGAGAATAGGTGACTTTGTCCCGAACCCAGAAAATAATGATCCCAAACCTTCCAGGCATAAAGATTCGGAAATAGGAAAGATATCGAGCATGGCTCTGGCCAGCATCACGACACCACACACTGGTCTCAGAGAAACTGCAGAGATAGCAACAGCTGCCTGGATTGACGGTGATTGATAACACCTGATGATGTTCACCTGGTGATAGATCATATATAAAGTAAGGAAAGCTCAGGAGGAAACTTGTGTTAACCTAGAAGAGTTTGATAACTTGGGATAAGAAAAATGGAATCAATTGTTTGTTCTTTGATGGGAGAAGGATGACACTAAAGTGTTCATGAAAGTTGGGAGATTCCTGACAAGTTGTTCCCTGCCATGAAGTGAAGGAGAACACTACTCCTGCTGCAGTGAACCAGGAGGGAAATGTTGTGGCATTTCACTCCCAGAGAAAAGATGACATCAGGAAACCAGCTGAGATAGTGGCAGATAACATTGTGAACTGGCTCAGAGAGAGGAAGCGTAGACCAGACCCTGCAGGCCATTGGAGGGACAGCACTAACACGAACACAGGGTGGCAAGGGGATCATACAGTGGATTGAGCGGAAGATTGGGAGAAGCTGGTCTGGATTGACTGTGACCTCCACACCAACGAGTTGCCACTCAAACATCTGATCCAGGAGCTGGATGGCAGACTCTTTCAAACAACAGATATTTCTGGTCCTCTTGGCAAGATGCTGGACTCTGCCACTGAGTTAGAAATCCGAGCTTTGAAAAAAAATCTGATTGGCCCTCCACTCGTTGAGCTTGCACATACTGTCATTGACGACCCGAGTATGACCAGTACTATGGTTTATGATTTGCAGTGCCATCAAAACTGGGGTCATGCCTGTTGATAGACTTGCTTACCTGCAGATAGGTCAGTCTCACATTCTAGGTGGCTCACAACGGCTCTCAGGTTCTGCAGAATTTGGGTCGCTCATCATAAACTGAAAAGGAACCAGCTTCACAACCTGGGGACTTATTGTCAATTCATCGTGAGTGTCTACTTGCCAAATTGGTTCAACACCAAGGTCAAGTCATCGTTCTCCGAAGGTCCGAGGCATGTTCTCTTCAGCAGGCTCCTGAAATTCCAGCCGAGGAAGGTTATTTCGGGTTAGTAGCAGACTGTGAGAGATCTTCCTGGTATGCTCATCCCGAGGCAGTTCTGCAGACAATGTTCTGCAGTAAGGATGAGGAGAGTGGCCCGTCAAGATCTTGGATATGAGACTTATGGAGGATCTGGGCATGACAGAATCAGTTGGTGACGATTCCTTCAGGGTCAGGAAGACTCCTGGGGAAGTCAATCTAGGTGCCAAGACCCTCACTGATCTCATAGATCTGGATAACATCCAGGCTGGCAGTGAGGCCCCTCTTACCTGCAATATCACCAATGTTCAAGTCAGAGCTTTCCTGGAACAACCCCATGCATGTCCCTGCCTGGCCACCACTTGCAAGTATAGGCGTTGTGTACAGCAAGTGGCCAGGCCAGCAGTCAGTGTACAACCAGGAGGAGAGGAGAAAGCTACATCCGAGCTCAGGTGGTCAGCAGGGAGGTGATGAGTGAAACAAGCAAGAAAGACATATTTCTCTATGGTGTGCAACGCACCGGGTCGTAAGTAGTAAAATCGGTTTTATATTTGATGATTTTGTTTTCTAAAGAGAATATTAAATTTAATAAATGTGTCAGATCATTACGTTCACTATTCTGGATCATTTTCATCATAATAAATTAACCTGATACATTTACTTTACTTTAATAGCTATTTAATTGAATTGTTGGTAAAGGGTGGGAATACTGAATTTACTATAAGATTTCAAGTTAAAATTTACCCAGCAAAAAATGAAAACTTTTCAAATCTGAAGATATCACGCTGATTCTGCACATAGAACTACATCATTAATACCATGGGCCGATTTTTCAAACTCAAAAAAAAAAAATTCGCCTCCGTATGACACACCCTAATGGTGTAAGGTTCCCGAAGTCTTTCAAGCCCCGAACAACGACCTCTCCTTCCTTAAGCAACTTCAAGAATATGGGAAGAAGGTGGATGGAGCGGTTGGAGCGGGAGCTACAGAGACATTCCAACGACATCTGTGATATTTGAATGAGACGTTGTAGGCTCTGGCTCTGTTAAACGACGCGGTTTCCCATGAGAAGGAGAGGAATCCTGGAGTCGATGAGGGAAAGGGAGGGACAGAAAGATCCATCGAAGAGAATAAAAGTGCCGGAAGAGGACATTCCGTCATTGGAGCTGAAGAAGCTGGTATCCAAGAATGCCAAATGCTTCCAGACCATGTTCAGGGCTCCGGTTTCATCTCCAAAGATCCATCCCAAAAGGGGAGGAGGATCCATAGTTCCTCCAGTCAAGGAAGTCCTTCGAGAATGTAGAATCAGAACGGGTAATACCACAGCTGGGGCTTTGCAGAAGAGTGCTAAAAAGATTACAATAATCACTGACGTGGGAGAGAAATAACGCAAAGATGATCTAGAACCCATATACCATACAGTATTATCGTGCATCTAATATACTATAGTGCATTCCGAATGTGTGTCTGTCTGTCTCTTTGTCTGTCTGTGCAGCCGAAACGGCACAATCGTTTTTCATCAAACTTGGTGGAAAAATCGCAAAAAAATCGTAGAGTGGAACAAACCTGGTCCCGTGTCAATGGTTTATTTAGGAAGGCATTAGTTAACAATTATATTTACGATGGAAGACAATGCAAGTCTACGGACTTGGCGCACCGTCATTCTCTGTACGATGTCAGCCCACGATTGCAGTTATCGTACGGCTCCCTCCTCCTACCTCCACTTTTTTTCTTAGCCTACTTTTTTTTAATGTTGTTTGGATAAGTAAAGGACGGAAGATGAGTAAATAGAAGAATAAAGAAGGAAAAACAGAAAATAGTTACAGATAACAGGGGGGAGGGGGGAGCTGAGTTTCATCATGCGTCTGGATGTGCAGTTTCAGCGTTACCAGACGACCTTACAGCTACAGTGTACGTATACTTATTCTTGTGGCTGACTGTACATGGAA